TGTGTGTGTGTGTGTGTGTGTGTGTGTGTGTGTGTGCGTGCGCGTGTGTGGTGTTTGAGGTGAAATATGTCTCACAGTTGCAAAGAAACAAATGGTATTGGACACTTTTGACCCTTTTTACTGTTCGTTTTGACCCGAACACCATCTATGTGATATGTAGTTTGGGGGGGATGTAAATTGAACAATTTTCATTTTATGTGCAAATTATACCTATTAAGACAAATAGAAAAAGTTTCATGCAGAAAAAAAGTATTTTAAACTATTTAAAAAAAATTCAACTTTAAAACGGGTCAATTTGACCTGCAACATAACAGGAGGGTTAAATAATGAACAAAAACCCATAGTCGACAGTTTTGTTGGAAAATGTTACTGGAAATACTTAATCATAATAATAAGTCATCTCTAGTGGGGYGTCACAATCAGAGTGGCCATAATTATAATTTTCCTCATTAGTTTTCTGCACTTCCATGAGTGGGGAAAAAAGCAAAAAAACGTTACTTGATTAAAATCTAAATCTGTCCCTCAACGGTTTTACAGTAACATCAGCTTACTTTTTGTTGGATTTCTGCATTTGTATTAAAAAAATCAACGCTCAAGTTTGATCTTATTGAAGTGGAAGAAGTCACCTGTACTCGTCGGTCCAGTCGTGAAATTTGAGCCGGCACGTTTGCACCGCTGCACACGGCACGGCTCGCGTCGTGACTCGTGATTTGGCCCTTTGGGAATTTGTTGACATTAATGTAAACAGTGCGTTCGACAAACTGACCCTGCAGTGTGACGTAAATGTCAAGTTGAATCAGGAGGATGTCAGTATTTCTCACCTGATGATGCTTTTTTTAAGTTTTTTTCTGGTGTAAAACACTAGAAAAAGCAGGGAAAGTCAATTCTGGTCCTCGAGGAGAGAAGGGCAAAAGTAAAACATGCAGRGCTGCGGACCGAAATTGATTATCCCTGCACTAGAGGGTTAGCTACGGGAARAAATCTTTGTAAGAAAAACTTTCTCAACTCGAAGAACACAAAGTCCATCTGGAACTGTGATGTCAGTTGAATCGGGTGTTTTGGGAGCGATGTGTGTCTTCTTGACATCAGCAGAGAGTCTCTCAGTGAGTGTCAGGGAATTTTCAACAGATGACTTGAATAACGTCCTGTCATCTCGTTGGCGATGAACCTGCACCGATCATTACAAGTATATATTTTTTATCTGTATTTGAGAGTTCTTGTTCTTTTATTGCATGCTTTTTATTGTGCTGGGACCTGAGTACGTTTCCTACTATTGTGCAAAAGTGAATTGTGTTTTACCACCATTTATCCTGTGTTCTTCTTATTATAGTATTTTACCGATTTTCCTCCAGTTCTCAACAAATTTGCTCATCTTCCTCGTTTTCGTCAAGATCGTTGTCGTCTTCCTCCACAGCTCAAGAAATCACCGACAGCACTTCTCTAAAAAACGTTCCCGTTATTGTCCCAGAAGTTTCACAACAAAATTAAAGTTTTACCTTTTTTTTTTTTTGACAAGAAGTTGCTCACATTCGCCAATGGAAGCAAACYGACAAAATAAAAGTCGTAAAACGTAAATAGTGCAGCGACTTATGGTTTATTGGTTTTGTCCCTAATATAACACTTTGATTTAATTTGCCTCCCACATCTCAGAACCTGCATTAATGCGTACACGTACATTGCATCGATGATGCCCAAACGATGCATCGTGCAGCTCTAGTCTGCAGTAATGAGGGCGTTGCTCACGTCTGTCATGGTGAAGAAGGAGCTGAGCCGAAAAGGAAAGCTCTAGGTGGACCGGTCGAGCTACATTCCAACCCTCRCTTATGGACGTAGAATTTAATAAAAGTCAAAGAAACTGAAGTATGTTTCCAATAAATCGAATTATTCAAATAAACTGTTTCGCAAGCATCAGCTTTGAAGAGACAAAAATGTTTCTCATGCAACACCAGCGATTACAACCGATCCAACAGGGTGAAGCAAACAGGAAAGTCAAAGTAGCAACGACAGAGGAGAAAATTTTTTTGCATAAATTTGTGATCCTAATGTGTTACTGAACAAATCTGCAAAAGTCTCTCATTCAAAAGAAAAAGTTTAGATGTCTGTCAGAACTTGGACACGTTGATAGATTCGATCACTAAAACAGTTGAAATATTTGTTAGCTCATAATAAAAATGTATATATTTTTTGTCTTTCAGATCATGATTAGGAGTATATTTTTGTTTTTGGATCGCACATACGTTTTACAAAATTCAATGCTGCCATCAATCTGGTGAGTTCTCAGCGACGTCACTGTTTCTTCTGAAGCAAAGTGGGAGGGAACTGAACAGGTTGCTGTGGTCTGCAGGGACATGGGTCTGGAGCTGTTCAGGTTCTACATCATCAGTGACCTGAAGGTCCAGAGTAAAACCATCGACGGGATCCTGCTGCTCATCGAGAGGGAACGGAACGGGGAGGCCATAGACCGCAGTCTGCTGAGGAGCCTGCTGAGCATGCTCTCTGACCTGCAGGTGCTCTTTTATCATCATCAGATGATCTCTTGTAAATCAGTGTGCTAATGAAGGGAGAGATGGGTAGTTTTATTTTGTTTTCTGCTACACAAAGAGCGTGGCTTCAGCAGTGTGTTTTTGTGATTATAAACAGAAAAGGTGACAAACTTGTCAGTTTTCTGTTGACAGAAAATATGTTCTCGCTGTGCGTAACAGATTTATCAAGACTCCTTCGAGCAGCGCTTTCTGGAGGAAACTAATCGTCTGTACGCCGCAGAGGGACAGAGGCTGATGCAGGAAAGAGAGGTGATGTATTTGATCTGATTCGTTGTCTTTTTTTTTTTTTTTTGGTTGCAGTAAAGTTTGATTCTTGCTTATTTTTGGTCCCAATAGATTAAATTAATCAAAATGAGCCTTTCAGTTTTATTTTCTAGATGTGAGGATTTAAATTCTTACCTTTTTAATAAAAATAAAAGGAAAGATATTTGTATTTTAAAACACCAAAACAAACAAATCCACTGATTTTTGTCAAGCCAGCGTATGTTTTTATTCTGAGGACAGTTTTTCCTCAATTCTAAAAGTGATCAAGTTAAAATTATTTTCTGTGTGTTAATCTTGAGCATCATGTATTTTTGTAAAAATAAATAATGACAAATGATAGTGCTGTATTTGGTTATTTTAGGTATTTTGATGGTTAAATACAATAATCGATGCTGTCATGATGGCCGCACCCTTTTTGTCCAACAAATCAGAAGAGAGGACCTTTCATCCACCACATCTTCTTAGATGTGTTTGATACTTAAACCAGCATAAAATAAGTTTGAGTATTCTTTAATAGTGAATACTGTGTTATTTTACTGTATGACTGTAGTACGGAGGTACACGGTCTGAACGCTGGCATTAAATGGAAATAAGACTGAAATAAGTGACATGGGAAATCACTTGTACAGAGCCACTCCTCAGTTCTTTATATTTTCTCTTAAGCTTTCTAACGGGTCTTAAGCAATAGTTTCCCAGGCTTTTGAAAGATGTATGAGCTCATCTATTTAGTTTTATTTAATAATGTGTGAGTTATAGCTGTTAACTTCTTTAACAAAATAGTTATTAATGATCTAGGTACTCTACCAGGCTTGTTTTATTCCAGTCTGTTTTTTTAATGAGGTTTATTTTTAGTCTCTCAGAAGAAGCATTACGGCAAAAAGAGGATATTAAGACTCCTGATTATGCAGTTATTAGCTTCTTAAAGATTTGGTTTTGAATTTATAGAGACCAACAACTCATCCTTCTTGCATCACAACTTATTTCTTTCTTTAGGTGCCAGAATATCTTCATCATGTCAACAAACGTTTGGAGGAGGAGGCTGACAGAGTAATCACATATTTGGACCAGAGCACACAGTGAGTGTTGGCCTTGTATTGATCTGTGCGTTAAGTTGTACGAATGCATTTAGATRTAACCTGAGTTTTCATGTACCTGTCAGAAAACCCCTCATTGCGACTGTGGAGAAGCAGCTGCTGGGCGAACATCTCACCGCAGTTCTGCAGAAAGGTGCTCTCCTGCAAACATTTCACATGTTAACGTACAGATGCATGATTTTCCAGCAGCGAGTYCGTGTCGTATCTGATGTTCCGTTTGTTGGAAACTTGCAGGGCTGACTCACGTGCTGGACGAGAACAGAATTCAGGATCTGTCTCTGCTCTATCAGCTCTTCAGTCGAGTGCGAGGCGGTGTTCAGGTGCTGCTGCAGCACTGGATTGAATACATAAAGGTGATACATGACTAAAGATAATGCRGCTTAAAGGTCCTGGGCTCTCAGTAGGTCATGTTTTATTTTTATTTTTTTCCCTTCAATGACTTTTATCCAGGCTTTTGGAAGCACAATCGTAATCAACCCTGAAAAAGACAAAACGATGGTGCAGGAACTGCTGGACTTCAAAGATAAGGTGGATCACATCATTGATGTGTGTTTCTTGAAGAATGAGAAGTTTGTTAACGCCATGAAAGAGGCTTTTGAAACATTCATCAACAAAAGGCCAAATAAACCTGCAGAACTTATTGGTGAGGATCAAACGTCTTACTCTGCCTTCACTGTCGCAGAATTTAATCCACTTTTAATTTATAAAATATACCCTTTTGTTCTCCTTTTCAGCAAAACATGTTGATTCAAAGCTGAGGGCAGGAAATAAAGAGGCAACAGATGAGGAACTGGAGAAGATGCTGGATAAGATCATGATTATCTTTAGATTTATCTATGGTATGACTTCTTCTACAGTTTATTTATTCCCCTTCATTTTTATTGCTTCTTTTCTTATAACAATGTGCTGTAATTGTAGGAAAAGACGTCTTTGAGGCTTTTTACAAAAAGGATTTGGCCAAAAGGTTGTTGGTTGGGAAAAGTGCCTCTGTAGATGCTGAAAAATCAATGTTGTCAAAGCTGAAACATGGTGAGTTCCGTCCATCAGTGTCACTCCAAATGTACAAAAGCACACAACTACGTGACAGAAATGWCCAAATCTAAAATGTTTCCTCAGAATGTGGAGCAGCGTTCACCAGCAAACTAGAGGGAATGTTCAAGGACATGGAGCTTTCTAAAGACATAATGGTGCAGTTCAAACAGGTAAAGACGACAACTCTGCATTTACACTTAAAGTTAGACATTTATTTTATTGTGTGAATGCTTCTAAAGCATTCAYACTATTTCTATARTTTATATATTAGAAGTTCAGCTCATTCAGGGCATTTCTCCTATGGCTTCTGGTACATCAGSAATTTATGCTTTTTGACAAATTTAGCTTTTTAGCCTTTTTTTCTCATTGAAATTAAATTTTTAATCTGTAACATTTTTAAAACCCTTCAAAATCTTAAGTCTTTGTGGCAGTTTAACTTTCTTCTATTTAGCTGATTTAGCTTTTTTTTTTTTGCTTTTTCATGTTTAGCTTCTTTCTGCTAATTTCAGCTGTTTTCTGTTTTTACCTACTTTTTAGCTACTTTGAGCATTTCTTTCAGCTAAATTCGCCTTTTTTATCATAATTTTAGCTTCTTACTGTGTAATTCAACAAACACATGCTCTTTCTGTATGTGCTAATTCCAGCTATTTCAGCTACTTTTTAAAAGCTATTTTAGGCTAGTTTCAGCTTTTTTTGCCATTCAGCCAAATATTTCAATGTTAAGCATTCTTTGATTTGTTTTAGCAACAATTTTGCATGTGCATTCACACACAGTACATCCATTATTAGTACTTCTATGAGTATAACACTTATTTCCATTGTGGTCCAATACAAAAAACAGAAAAAGAAAAAGAGCATAATAAATACTGAAAATCAAAATGGTAAACTGGTGTAACAAGGAAAAAAGCTGGACATTTGTATTTTAGGGTATAATATACAAATTTACTCAGCTTTTTTTGCAGGAAATGCAGTTTCTCTAGTTTAACTTTTATTCAACCAGGTAGAACAAATTCTTATTTACAGTGCTGGAGAGAACACATTAGCTAAATAAGTTCAATCAGTAAATCACTTTGCATATCCTCATTAGGTGGTAAAACATTTACATGTATTATTAAAGGAGGCTTTTAAAAAGAGAAACAGAAAAGGGACGTAGGAAGGCCGAGTGTTTTTTTTTAATTTTTTTATTTAATTTTATTTTTTTAAGCAAATTCCAGTCATTTGAAGCATCATGAGGAAAGGACTATGTACCATAGCGGAATTTATTTCTTGGAATGTCCAGCGACAAGAGATGATCTCTTGACAAACGTYGTTACAGATGCAGGTTGCAGCAGCTGAGTCAAGTGGAGGAGAGAAGCATGTTAGAGTTTTGTAAATAATTGTAAACCAGTGAATATTGTGACACCCAAGTGTCCAGTTTCTGTAGAGTTCTCTCACAAAGTGTCTAGATTTTATCTCAGTAATCAAACAAAGGAAAAATGTTCTTTTCTTATAAATTCTGTTAAGTTTATGTGCTCATTGTCGACTGAAAGCAGAAGGTATTTGATACCTTCTGGTTTAATTTCTAACACAATTTGAGAGTTTAAAAATGCTGAAATAGGTGTTACTCTTTGTGTTTGAAGTCAAATCTACAAGAAAACAAAAAAGACGATGTTGGAAGAGGTGGTTGTGTAAAAAAAATCAGTGAACTCTGTTAATATTTGTTTTTGTGACCAAGTCTGATATAATTACAACTCTGTGACCCTTGGCCTTTTTTTGTATTGAGCAAAGCAATATATCACATTACCAGAAAGCATCCGTTTTCTTAAAGCTTTAGCTGAAGTTGAAGTGACTGACTGTGAAAAGCTTGCAGGGTTGCTAATCCTGTTTAGTAATGCCAAAGAATAATAAGATGGCACATTGTCAAGCTTGTGCATGTTTATTATTTGGACGAGGCACATATTTACAGGATTTATTTCCTGTTAAAAGGGATTTCCTTGGTGATGAAATTGTTTAGATGTAATACTGCATGTTCTCATCCAGTTTGTGTAATTAAGAAAACTCACCTCGCCTCCAGACAGTTACCAGTTTGCTCCTGCACACTTTCAACCCCACCTTTTAATTTTTTTTTATTATCTTGTGTTGCCTACATTACCAAACGGATAATGTGCAGTGATTACCTGCTCTGACAAGTCCTGGTGCAAAAGCTTTTGAGAATGACTTAGTAAACTTTGAAGCCTTAAGTGTCTGTGACATGCTTATCCTTCAAATACAAAAAGTCAAAGAAAACATATATATTTAAGAAAAGTAGTAAAATACATTATACACATGATTTTACCCATTTTGTCTCATAACTGGCATATTTTCTCTTGAATTTGGCTCAGCAAAGTGAAACAGGAAGTGACCACAAAGGGGAACTCTAAGAAAAGAAACTCTAGTCTTTTTTTATTGAAACAATCTTATTTAAACTCTTTTTCAACTCTGATAGTGACTCAAAATAATCTAAAGAAACATCAGATTCTTGAATTATTGTAGCATCGCTTTGTTTGCATGCAGACATTTCCTTTTGACATCACTTCCTGTTTCTTCACATGCAAATACAGTGGGTAAAATAAGTATTGAACATGTCAACATTTTTCTCAGTAAATTTATTACTAGAGGTGCTAATGACATGAAATTTTCACCAGATGTTGGATCCATACATACAAAGAAATCAAA